TGAAGATGACAGAAGCTCTGTCGAAACATGTCTTGCAAACTTAAAAAATTGGTCGTTTTCCTTAAAATAACTCCTCATTATTTTCACCAGAAGTTGACTGCAATTCCTCCCTCTCATGTTCCACGAGGATCTTAAAATAGCAGAACACAACTGAACGAGTTTCCCTCGCTTTCAATTTAAGCTTATCTATTAAGGCAAGTTTTAATTTCGTCCTAAACATACCCTAGCAGCTTCTTGTTTCCTATAAGGTCCTCCTGGCAGCTTCTGTGTATGTTTTGATGGTCTGGTGAGAGCGTCTTGAGACATGTTGTCATGTCGTTTTAGCTTCTTCATCTGTGGAGGACCATTTTTAAAAATTGTAGGAACAGCATTGGGTTTCAAAATATTTTTCATCTTTAAGCCCAGAGATTTCGCTATCACTGTCTGTTCTTCAAAGGAATCCTCAGTGAAGTGAGCGCTACAAAGTCGGCTAGTCTTTGGGTTGAAAACATCAGAACAGGTGTTCTTCACGGCATTCGTCCATAGCTTAGTAGTGGGCATCTTCAGGCCATTTGTGAAGGCTTAATCCATCTTTGCGAATGTTAGAACATCCACCAGCTATACAGCGATGTGGCATTGTAATATGTTCCACTTAAGCCGAAGGAGTGTTACGCACAGGGCCGTGGTCATGTCGCACTGTTCGGGCTGGTATTAAATTCACACAGAATGGGTGCACAACTCAACTGCGGTATAATAAACTCTATTACACTTTATTACTTGAATTGACTTCTTGATATACGAAAGCAAACTTATACACATGATTATTGGTAAAAAGAATCTTTGAAGTGTCCTCAGTCAATAACATAGCTGCAATTTTAGAGATAGTCGTGCCTACTTACAAATGGCTGTAATGATGTTGAACTAGTCATTTACGAGAAGAATCTAACGCTAAAATTATTCAGAGAGAAACAAGGTTCTCTACGGTATTTTAAGCGTAAGGCCTGGACTATGTTTTTGCACAACACGCAACACGACAAGCTTTTTCGTAGCACAGCTGATCTTCCCCAGTGTAAATATTATCGAGGAGGTTTTGCGAGTTCTCCTTTCTACATCACTTCTGGTTTTTGACCTGTGATCCAAAGCTCGAACCGCAAGTCAAGAACGTTCCCCATTTACACAAAAAATACGATGATTGACCACTTATAGCTGTTCAATACTTCTTATTTGGGTTATAAGCTATCTTTCTTTAGAATGTTGTTCTGAGGTGTAGAGTATTCCTTTAACATCAAATGCAATTCATCCAGAATGATGTGATCCAGTGGGATGACAAGGAGTGGCTTATGGCAACAACAGTAATTTTCACCACTCTTCTTTGTTGACAACTCAAACATTTCCTGGATTGTGCACTTAAGTGGTATGGTATCATAGTATCCAAAATCCTTAGACATGTTTCCTCTAGTTGGAAATGAAAATAAAAGTAGTAATCCAAATTAATTTAATAAAAATTATGACTGAGATTCTCAAGGTATTTCAATTTTTTTGGAAATCAAATTTTTAATAGTTATTACTTAATTACCTAACCTTCTTGTGTATCTTACACCATAACTATGCCTAAGTTGAGTTGGCTGCACTTAGCCCCATAACCAGCAGCACAAACTGTAAAGGGAAAACATCTAACATTACTGTTTGAGGTAATTTTAAATTCTGAATTTTTTATCATGTAGTCTTAATTTTAGCAGGGCCCCTTTTGATACCAGCCTATAGCTGATGGGGCTACCCTGCCAAAATAAAGATGACTGGACTGG